CGGTTAAAAATAACCAGAAGAATAACCACAGAGGCAGGAGAGAAATGGCGCAACATCTCATAATGAACATCATCAGGTCCGACCAATGTACTGCCAGATCGACAAAGAGCAAGTTTGAGTTCCACCACTATAAAGGGGCGATTATAATCATAGAGACGATCGGCCCGAAAAGAAAGAGGCGATCGCTCTGCCCAAGGCTTTTGCCCAAGAAGGTGGGGGAAGAAACAGAAGCGCGAGAGTCACGAGAAAAGCTCGGGCCGAAAGCAGCAGCAATGCTCTGGACATCAGCAACTTCCTGGCCATTGGAGAGCAAGATGGAAAGGGATGAGAAGCATACCTCCCAGTGACTTTCCGAATCTTGTCCCATACAGTTTTGGAACTGGTGGTATAAGAGATGCTAGTAGTGAACTTTATCCAAGACTCCTTTTGGCTTTGACGTCGATTATGGGCATGAGCCCACTGATAAACAATGCGGTTAGAAAGAGTGGGATACCATCGAAAGGTATTCCAGGCCCGTTTTTGAGCCTTCTGTGCCTCCTGGCAGGCAGGACTTCACCATGAATGAGGATACCGTGGAAAACGTGTCGAGGTCTTAGGAATAGAATAAACAGCCGCCTGGACAATACAGTCAGTCACTGCCACCACACAATCGTCTATTGATGGTAGACAGACGAAGGCAGGATCAAGTTCAGAGAGAGAGGTGAAAGATGGCCAGTCAGTCTGGTCCAGCTTCCACCATGGCACTCAGGTCGGGTGGCATCGACCATGGCCAACCTCTCTCAGTATGATGGGAAAATTATCACTGCCCCGAGGATCACTGTCGACCATCCAAGAAAAACGAGTGAAAAGTGCAAGGGAGCAAATTGAGAGATCAATGGCAGTAAAAGACTGACTAGGTGCATGAAAGTAAGTGTATGTTCCAGTATTGAAGAGAGAAAGGTTGTGATCCGAGAGCATGCGGTCTATGGAACAACCCCTCCCATCAATATCAGCACCAAAAGTAAAAAGGGAGGTGGCAACTGGTCTACGAGAGCATCAAGGTCCGATTGATCATAAGTCTCCCCAGGGGACAGGTAGAGAGAACAAACAGTGATGACACAACCCAAGGAAACACATATGGCTACAGCCTCCAAGGGTGTATCGAGGGACACGGATAAGGAGGGCACATGCTGGTCGACCAGCAGTGCCACCCCTCCGTGTACCCACCCATCACACAACCTGTCATTCCGGTACAAGGGAAACTGCTGAAGGGTGACTGTATCAGCAGGTTTCAGAAATTTTTCCTGTAAGGGATGATAGGAGTCAATCAAGGCCTTAATGTCATCGAGATTTGGGGAACTGTCGAGGTTTTCGTTCTTTGATACAGTTGACCATTTTTATGTATGTTTAGGAGAAGAGGGTGGAGAACCCTTCGGTTTACGACCATGCCGTTTTTCTTTACTAGATGGAGGTCGATCGACCTCCATGGATCCTGCCCTTGAATGAGCGGGCAGATCTCTGTCATCTGTGTGAGAATCCAATGACTGAGGACGTGATCGAATAATCGTCCTACATTTAGGGGCCAAAGAAGGACCCACACGGACACCAGAGGTTGGTGCCCGAGGAGATTGACCTAGGCAGTCACTGGAAGGAACAGTGGGGACAGAGATTGGAGTAGATGTAGACTGATCAGCTCTATTATCCATGGAGGGCAGAAGACCCCGCACATGGCGTGAAAAAGACTCAGATGGAGGCACGGAAAGGTCTGTCTGCACTCCCACTGTAGCAGTGGAGTGTAGTGCAGAGGCATATGTCCGCGATGTAGGATGGAACAATAGCTTCCCAGCCTTAGGATAAGAGATGTTATTTAGAGTCTTCAAACGCTGTACCTCTTTCTCCTCCACCCACTTAGGGCAAGAGCTAAAGTAGGAGGGGTGGGAACCACTACAATTAACACCATGTCAGACCCAACAGGGTAGTCACCAATGAGATAAGTAGGAGGATGGGAAGAAGGAAGCCAGAAAGAGGAGACATAGATTAAGTAGGTCTAGTAACAAAATGGTAAGGTTGAAATAGACAAGAAAACAAAGCAGACAATAAGTACCAATGCTGAGCCACTTCAGCACAAGTATCCAGTGAGTCAGTAGAAAATCATCCTTTATAGACAATACAGAGGAAAAGAATGAAGCTAATTTCAGCACAAATGGAGCTATTGTACAAAGAGATTGTGTTGCCCATCTTTCATAACATGATGATGATGTCATGCACTAATGCATAAATGTGTTTTTAGGTGGGAGGTAGCTCACGGCTAATTGCATACACATCTCAAATGCAGATATACAAAGGAATCAAACTATTTTTTGTGCACAGATGAGGTATTATTTCAAAAGTATCAACTTTTCTATACACATAGGTCTATCACAGAGTTATAATACATTGAGGGTTAAAAAAAGAAAGAATATTTACACCTACACATAATAAATATAGTTTTAAATAGTTGGCTGATATTTGAACAAAAATTGAAAGATTTGTTTGTAGACAACTTACAAGATGATGTAATGGTTCTTAAATGACATTCTTATTATTTTTCCAAATTGCTTAGTTCAAATGATTTGTGATAACTTTCCAGTAACCCTGGTATTTCTTTTCTCCTTATGCCTGATAACCAAGACATGAAACAGAGAATTAAATAATTCTCTTGCTAGCCATTGTAGTTTTCTAGATCTTTATCAATAAAGACAAAATAATAATAATGAAGATGCACCAACTCTTTTTTTTTAAAGTCACATATCAACTGTAGTTGTCATCTGCTAACTTCAAATGTAGCAAGCATGCAGGCTTCAGTTTTTAAAAAATATATAGTAATCAGTATTCCCTATGAGAACAAGAAATAAAAGAGGTTTCTACATAAATCTAAACCACAATAACCTTTGTGCTTTACAATTAACAGTGTATATGGAAAAAAAAGGATAACTGCAAAAATTTCACAAAATGATCCTTTTTCCACAAAAATTGACATTCTTTATATGTTGAAACTATTTAATGACCTAATTTTTACACATGGAAAATAGAACATGAACTTAACAATTTATAACAAAAAGACCAACTAATAAAGATTTTGTTTTACAGCTGTCAGGAGTGGTCAATTGTTTCTTCAAACATGAAAATACCTAATAAAATTAAAGGAACTTTAAATATAGCTTTTTTTTGAACAAAGTAAATTTAATCTCTACAACAATGCTTAATGAAGGAAACAATAGCTTATATCATCTTTAATATCTATATTAATGATTCACTAACCTTGCATTGTGTAGGTCTTCCCAGAGCTGGTGATTCCATATGCAAATAAAAGACAATTTTGACCATCTATAAAGTTTTTCACAGGTTGAAAAACACAGCCATCAAATACTTCTTGCTGGTTAGCTCTATCACAAAAAATGTGTGAAACAGTAAACCTCTGTTGAACCCGGTGAAGCTCATAAAAACAGTTCTTGAAAGTTGTAGAATCCTTTGGGGCCTTCATTTTTAGTGTATGAGTATTTTCTACTTGTAAGCACCCCTAGAGAATATAAATAAACAAACAAGGAAAGTTATATGAAATTCAATAAGTGGAATAAAATTAATATTGTAACATTTAGCTGAAAATACTTATTCTTTTTGTTTTGTTTTATAACATTTTTCTTAACATGATATTTAAGTTTCATAATAATCCTAGACAGACATCAAAGAAATCCAATTCCCAGTTTTTCAACATTCAATTCATCTCTAAAGTAACAAATGTTTACCCTCCTAAAATCTTTAACTGTGTTCTATCTTTTTTATTCCCTACATGTTTTTTTCTTATAAAAAATATCACTATTATAAAAATTTCATATAACTTTCAAAAAATGCTCTTAGCTTTACAATTGGTAAAATTTGAGTCTTGTTATCATTATTAATAATAATCATGTTTTATGAAAGAAAACCTTGACATTAAAGCAAGCACTTTGTCATAGTGTAGGTCCCATTATCATCAAAAGGTAATTGTAATATTTACTCATTCTAAGTACTTTCAGTTCACTGTAAAACTGCATGTAGATCACACATTAATAACTGCAACAATTTGACTTGTTCATTGCCTTTACCTTCATTTTTTGTGTGAATGTTTAACATTTTATAACATAACATATTATGAAGAATATTAAAACTATGTCAATATTTTTTTGTCACATAGTAATATAAATCTATATAAATAAAATAGTACTGTCTGTTGTATGTACATATAAACTACTTCGCAGGGTGTGGAGAGATCTTCACCAAAATTAGCATGGAGGTTCATTATGTCAATGTGGGGGGTACACACAAATTTTCAGTTTCGCATAATGTAGTTTTTATGGGAATTATATACCACTACTTCATCCCCTGTAAGATGGAGATTCATTGGGTCCATAGGAAGATACATATAAATTTTCAGTTTTGCATTTTGAAGTTTTTATGGAAGTTTTTGCATTTTTTACCATTACTTTGATCCCTCTAGATGGATTTTCATGAAATTTGGCATGAAGGTTTGTTGGGCTCATGTGGAAATACATACAAATTTGGGATTTCACATTTTGTGTTTTACAGTTTTTATGGGCATTTTTTGTATAAGTGATGCAACTTTTCACGACCTAAGGTAACCTTTCATTAATGATGAATTTACATAACTCCCGTCCAGGGGATAGGTACCCCAGCTAGTATACAATAACGCTGTACATTGTAGCCAGATCAGGATGTTAATCTATATAAATATAATAGTACTGTTTGTTGTATGTCCATGGAATTACTTCACAGGGTGGGGATGGATCTTCACCAAAACTGGTATGGGGGTTCATTGGGTCCATGTAGGGGGAACATATATATTTTCAGTTATGCAGTTTTATGGGTATTTTTTTACCAATATTTCACCCCTGTTGATGGATCTTCATCAAATTTGGCATGAAATTTGTTGGGGCCATGGAGAGATACATACAAATTTTCAGTTTTGCATTTTGTGGTTTTTATGGTCATTTTTTACAATTACATATAAAGGAAGCAACTTTTCATGTCCCAATATAATCTTTCATTAATCACAAATTTACATAACTTCCTTCCAGGGAATGGTTGCTCCAGCTAGTATAAGAATAGAATGTCAATTAAACTTGCCATAGTAAATTTTTACATATTGGCTTTTTCCAGATACACATATGATGTATCTAGACTTACTTATACATTTGTTTTTATCAAAGTTAGTATTGTTCAGGACATTTCCACTTCTTGTAATATACACTTGTTACACAATCTGTTTTTCATTTTTCATTAGAAAGGTGTTTTTCATATTGCTGATGTCCAAAATATGTGAAAATGCAAATGGTATGACTGCAGCTTTGATGTTATAGTGTTCTTCCTAAAGCATTCTAGAATGTTGATGTCACACACTGGGGGAGAGATGACATTGTGCACTATATATAATACATTCAAATCAACTTGGAATCAAGATCAGTATGTAACACATCATATAGCTTACATGAATTATTTTTATGGCAGTATTTTCAAAAATGTCAAATGTTCAGAAGAAAACGGAGATCAAATATCCTTAAGAGAACCTTTCAGTTACAAAAATACAGAAAGAAATAGTAATGTACTTTGATAACCTGAAAGGGGTTGTTGAAGAATAAATACTCTTTAAACTTTAGAAGATACCTTACTCATGAATAATTAGCAGCTTTTATTTGTATTGTTACATTTTTCAGTAAAACACACAAAAGTGAACAACATATTTTGATATATCCTCCAATTTCAATAGATTACTCTGAAGTAGTAAATATAAATAATCAGTGTACGTGTTACAGAATATGCATGGAAGAAACTCATTTGTTTCCCCTAGATGGCAAACACCTCCTTACACTGTATGCCAGCCAACCGCTAGTTCAATAATACCCATCCCAAATGTATGAACAAATGGTCAGTTATATGTTACCTTTCTCACTGTGAGTGACCTGGAGCAACATTTAACTGGTAGACATGACAATATCTTAGGGTTAGTGACATAACTCACTAAAATGGTTGTGTTTCTTCAATATACTTTTCTTTTATAATATTAAGGGTCAACTTGCATTTTCACAGATAATCCATATATTCAAAGTATGTGAAAAAGTCATGTTTAGCATTACTTTATTATAGCAGCAGGAGTGCTATGGTGAGTAACTTGGCAGTCAAACTGAAAAATCTATTGGTGTTTATATGTGGATATCTCAAAGGTTTCAGAGAATGCACCAGTATTCTGAAAAATGTGAGGAAAGTATTAATTAAATTCACAGTTTGCAATTGTAAAGAATACAGAGATATGCTATAATCGTGAAGAGTGCATATAAAATAACATTAACGTTACTTTTTCTTCTGTTATATATCATTATTTCTTTCACTGTACTTTTCATTCTTTCAGGGTTTTTAACAGGTTTCTTTAGTTCTGAAAAATTATGTAAACAGGACATACTTTCTTGGCAATTGAACAACTTTCATCCCCTTGTTTGTATTTTGTTCGGTTATCATTACAGAGCAGGCAGTGTCCATGCCAGTAGTAGTAACTTTCTCAGGATACATGACCTTGTGATCTGTTGTACTAATATGGTATGGGTTATGTAATTCGTGTCACTAATACACCAGTGTCAGTAAAGGAAACCATAACTGATTCAAATTCAACAGAAGGACTTTGTAGATGTAAGGGAAGAGTTCCTTCTTATTCTTACAAAGTAAACTGTCAACATTTCACATGATTTATCTACTTTGTGCAAAATGTCATGACCTAGGATCAAAGATAATGCTAAACTTTAGGAAACTGACTAATATGTGACCTTGTTTAGATGTCATTGAACATGAAATGTCAATACCAAACTGGTTTTTCGTGTAGAGGAAGTATATAAAGTATTTTCAGTTGGATATATTTTTCAGCTTATCTTTCAAATAAAAAGGACAGTTCATAATCCCAATTTCACATCTTTTTTCATGTTTGTCATGAAAATAACCATTTGTTTGTTGGTTAACATTTCAGAAGATGAGATGTTTCAGCAGCAGAAACAAAAACAAATGTTATAATGACTGATTGAAGTTATAATTTGGTTAATATTGGGTAGCATCAATAGCTGAGCTAAACAGAAGGTTATGATAAAGTAATTACCTCTGGGTGAACAAGGTAATGAATGGATATATATGAAAGTTATGGAAAGTCAAAGAATTTTCAAAATCAACCAGTAAAACCTAAAAAGGTTAATCAGAGGGACTATAGGATATACATATATACATTTTTTCTCCCTATTTCAACCTTCATCTCGATGAATTAGGGGTTGGTCAATAATTGTTGTAAGTCACGAAAGATTTACACCCAGGTGGCTAGACAAGTCAAGTCAGCTATCATATCGGACAAGCATGTTAGGTGGCCGGGATTCAAGCTCTCGACCCTCAGATTGTGAGTTGAGCACATTAACCACCAGGTCACACATATTTGTATACATACTAAGTGATCTTTATATAAAAAAAAAGATCTATTTTATGTGGCTAGAAAATCCCATATCCCTTTTGCATGCTTTTACGCATCATCTTATATACTGAACAAACATCAACTAAAAACTAAGAGTTGCATGTGATCAACACTGTCAACCAAACACAATAGCTTGTTTGTTACCACTGGATATTTGGTGTATTAATCAAACCAATAGTATTTACAGACTCATAGATGAACAATCCTTATTTGTACAAATAGTAACATCACATTACTATGTGAAAGTGATTGTGAGAGACTAATTATGGAAGGGCTCTTGTTTGGTTTGATCTAGAACTGAATTTAATCTGTCAGAATACACCAGATTTTCATTGCAAGAGGGCTACTGAAAATATATCCATATTTTGTTTCTAAACAAATCAAATTACTAGTTAGAGGGGGAATTTAACTGAATTATTGCAGCCTTCTTAAGCCAGAAATTATTACTATAGCTGGGTGAATCATACCCTTAAAAATTAGTTTAAGTGCCAAAATTTAGCAAAATATTGAAAAACCAACAGGCCTAAAAACTTATAAAACAAGTTTATTGCAGATGGGTTTTTTCCAAACTCTTCTTAATTTGCTATTTATCATTTTTTTCAGACACCCCCTGATTTTAAGCCATAATATAATCAATCAATGTTCCTGTTGATTAATCAATTATTAAAAACACTAATAGCCCAGCTCTGCTGACAAAGCAATCATATAATATATATACATTATATCTAGAAACAGAAAAATCTTCTTTAGGATCACTTAATCTGGTCATTTTTTTTCTAATAAACAGTATATTACTTTTTTTCTGCTAATAGTAACAGTAAAAACATTAGAAAAGCAAAAGAAACAGATTCTCATAAGTTATAATTTTATACAGTCTGCTTTTATTGTTTGTCATAGTTGTCACACAAAACTGTAATCTGAACATATGTAATTATAGAATTAATTCTACCTTCAAAAAACTATATATTTAGTTATGTCTGTGGATTTTTGTTGTTTCAGCCTCTTACATCACAATAACCCATGTA